AAAAAAAAAAAGAAGATATATGGATACTCACCCCCACAGAACCATCAGCAAATACGAAGCCATATCATCCTCGCTCAGCCCACGGCGTCTCATCTCTGGTATAGCGCTTCTGACAGCCCAACATTGGTCGCCCTGACTAGATGGGGGTAGACGCATGTATTCTATTAAACAGCGTCGCATCCGGACCCTAGCAGCACGAACCTTTTTGCCGCATGGCCGTGGTAACTTGAAGAGCAGCTTCCACAGGTCCATTTCGAGACACACCAGATCTTCCACGATACACGGTGAGAGGCTCCAGATGGAACCTCCAAACCAGGCCGTTGTAACTGCGCGAATGATCGCGGTCTGCGCCCACCTATATAACGAGACAGTTCGCTCCTGCTCGTCCGAGGTCCGGAGGAGAGTCGGGGCGTTGATTGCATCCCATCGAACATGGGATTCCAGGACCTCCAGGGACCGAGCGAGTAGCTCAGTGCTTAAGGACTTTTCCAGGAGCTGCTTCCTCATGAACTCCTCCGCTACCAGGACTAATGCTGGTGCCTTCGGTTGGGAATCATGATCCATCTCCGAGATCCCTGATTCCGAACACCCAAGGCCCATTAGGAGGCTCTTGAGGTGCTCCTTATGTGATAGTTGTGGTGGTTCTCTCAATACCGCAGTGGCATCCTGCTCGGAGAGGATGAAGTAAATCGTCTGTCCGAATACATTGATAGCGACTGGTTCTCCACTGCCCTTGCAGTACTTGCTGTTGTTTTACACACTTAGGTGAACGACGCTAAGTATAATGTTAAGGATCGAACAGGCAACTCACATTGCGAATGATAGTAGATCATGAGGGTTCCTTATCATCGAGATTGCATGGCCTTTTCCAAGTAATTAGCGTTACCCAATCGATGGTGCTCGAGCATAAGTGACTAGTAAGCAGGCCGTACCAGCAACTGTTCGGTTTGGTAAGCAGTGAAATAACAATCATCCCGTTCAATACTTACATGGGATTACATATGGGACTTCCCTCGGCGAGTTCGGGTCGAAGAAAGGGCGGACGGTGAATCGCCAGAGGCGCCAGAGCACATACGCTAGGACACCACATACGACCAGGTTTAGCAGACTCAATTCACGCTGGAGAAGCCCAAAGTCAGGAATGGCAGCTGACATGATATAGAACAGATACACTGGAACAGATATGAAAGTGAAAAGACGGGATGAGAAAGACATGCGCCGTAACCGCCTCTCAGGGTTACCCTTATATTGAGCACTATGTTTAATTTCGGAAAAAGAGGCAAACTACTGGCTACGCTATCCCACTGCTTTTTGCGCAGTCCGTAAGCTGGACAGGGGTAGGGTTTTCTAGACCCTAGACTTTACGAGACCAGGCGGGATCTGCCTCGCCATCAATGTCGAATTGTCTTGTAGGATAAATACTACAGGTTACGTGCAGCCTTTTCCGCGGCCCCAAGCTGACTCACTTAACTCTCATGGCACCATCCAGCTGGAGATCGACCAAGTTAAGAAATGTCAGAGATTACGAGAGAATGCAGGTCTCGGATGTTGTTCTTAGTGATAGTTCTCGTGTCAGGGCACGAAAGGATATCATCAACCCTATCTATCTGACTCCGAGCGGGGTAAATCCAACGATGTAACTGTAGAGATAAACTGATGCAAGTAAGCATTTAGTGCGTGATGCTTAAAGTACGGTGCAGCACCTGAATCACAGTCGCCATGGCCATCCTGCCGGACGGGAGGATGATAGCTTATTCCGACTCATTCCTCTTAGGGCTTCTCATACATCCCGCAACCATCGGCTTACTACTTGCAATGTTCTTGCAGTACAGCTTACTGTATGAAAAATACCCCGCAGCCTCAACATTGGTAGTTAGGACTATATATACATTGAACATGTGATAGATAGTAGCTGGGAAGCCGTAGGCTCCTCTTTTTGTAGTTGGATTCTGCGCCCTAATGCCATCTCCCTCCTCGTGTGTGTTTGTGTGTTATAGTTGTATATATACGACATTCCTGTCTGAATCGGCATGCAGAACTTATCGTATCCCTTCAATATAGGGCCTGCCCCTCTCTGTGGTATGCTGCTATTCCTACTCTGCTTTCGACTGTGGATTCGCATAAGGGTCAACTCCCAAGAACCAGTACGCCGGCCGCAAATACAAGAAAGAAGCACTGCTGATGCCATGTCCTAGAGACATCAAAATATCATTATTGTCGAGCCTCCCATCTACATCCTCAAGGTTATCTGCCGAATTCAATATCTCTGGAAGGGACCCGAGATACTGCAGCAAGCACACGTAAGTACTAGGATCACAGAAACCGGTCATGGAAAGCTGAGCCTGTATTACTCAGGTAAAAGATATTCCATATGCCATACGCACACCGGAAGCATATCAGGTCCATTTCTCGTCAAGGGAGCATATCAAGCAACTTGTTCAGGCGCCAGACACCTGTTTGTCACTGCATGCTTTGGCCAAAGATGTACGTCCTTCTCCTTCTTATTCAAATTTATATATTATTCAGGACTTAACAAAAGCAGATGTTTCAGCCCAAATACACTATGGACGGCCTAGGAGTTGACGACTGCATGAGTGCAAACGGCACCATCCACCAGCGAGCCCTCCAAGCCGAGCTGCGATCCCACCTGCCAGCCCTAATACATCCCTTGACCGACTGTATAGCCAGAGCTCTCACAGAGGAGATAACAGACAGCAAGCCCCTGTCCGGGGGATGGCACGCACTGCAGATATTTCCCATGGCTAAGCGACTGATTACGGCCACCAACGCCTTGGTCTTCTTCGGCCCAGAAGTATCAAGTGACCCGGTCTTTCTCAACGCCGCACTCGAGTATCCCGAGCATCTAATGGAAACAGCCGAAGTACTCCGCCTCCTGCCCTCGTGGCTCGCGCCATTCGTTGCACCTTATCTAATGCGCCGCCACAGAGCGCTGAAGATCCTGTTAGACCGTCTCGTCCCAGTCGTGGAAGCCCGTCTTCTTAACGCCGCCACCACCACCATCCCCACCACCCCAGGACATACAGACTGCATCCAGTTCTTCGTCAACGCTGTTGCACGCAAGAACCAGCAGCACGAATGGCCAGCCCACCGAATCGTCCAAGTCCTCTTAGGAATCTGGTTCGCCTCCGTCCACCAGCCTGCAATGTGTCTCTTCTACGCCCTCGACGACCTCTCCCTCCACCCCGAATACACCACCGCATTGCGCGACGAGGTCCGCGCAATCAACACAGCCCAAGACATCACCAACCTCCCTTTACTCAACGGCTTCCTCAAGGAATCCGCGCGCCTCCACCCAACGGATTCCATCTCGCTACGGCGTAAGGTCCTCCAAACTTTCACATTACACGACGGAACTAGCCTAGCGAAGGACGACATCGCATGCATCCCTCTCCAGCCCCTCCTCCAAGACCCAGAGGTCTACATCGACCCACTCACATTCAACCCTTATCGGTTCATGAACCTAAACCGGGATGCCAAACCCAGAGCCGCCTCTACCTCGGACTTCACAGACGCCGATGTCACCTTCCCGATATGGGGGCTAGGGAAACGGGCTTGTCCGGGTCGGTACTATGCCTCGCTGCTCCTAAAGCTCGTTCTGGCGCAGGTCCTGCTCCGCTATGATCTGAGGATGCTGGACGGGGCGCAGGAAAAGAGGTATTTCTATTGGCGTTCTGCGATTGTTCCGAAGGCTGGGGCGATATTGCAGTTTCGGGAACGGGCAGAATACTATTAGTATATAGTTAATAGTTAAACCTGAACTTGAACAATATATTTTACTTGATTCTTTTCATCAATATCTCTGGAAACATGGTCATAAGGATGCCAAATATCTCCCTTTATCTGATCGAATAGTGCTGCTATGTAGAAGATAGGTATTGTTCTACAGCTCCAGAACAAGAAATCAATTAAATCCCCACTCCCGTGACCCCAGAATAAAAAACACCCTACCAAATCGGGCCCCCGACAATGCCCACTAACCCAAACTAGACACACATATTAAAAAAAAAAACATGACGTAATCAAACCCAACCACCTCCGACTCATCTAAACCAATTTACAATAATCAATAACCCAATACTCTGTATCTCACATCACAGAACTAAAAATCCATCTCACCCTCGAAAGAAAGAGAAAAAAGCAGCCAAAATGGTCTTCCGCTTTGTACGTTCCAATCCCAATCCCAATCCCCAAACAACCTTCCCCTACCTCCCCCCCAAATACAAGAAGATATCACCTACCACTAACCACCTATTCAATTCAAATCCAACTAACATACCTCCTCATCCGAAAACAGGCTAAAACCCTCGACCCCATAACCCTCTTCCACAGTCCCAGCACGCCGGCGTCCCAAAATGCCCTGAAAACGCTACAACGCGCACTCGCCGCCGCCGAAGCGGGCGAACCGCAGACGACCAAACGGGGCGAGTTCCAATTGGAAGTGACGACGGAGACGCCGACGACAGACCAGCTGCGGAATATTCTGGACTATGTGACGGCGGATCCGGCGGGGGCAGGGAGTAATCGGATTGTGTATGGGGTTGAGCAGGTGGTGAAGGGGGCGAGGAATGCGGAGGATGCGGTGAAGAGGTTTAAGGAGAATGGGGGGCAGGGGCTTGTTAGGCCTATTGTGAGTATATGTCTCTTTTCTTTTCTTTCTTTGTTTTCTCTCTTGTCTTTTGTTTGAGGCTTGGGATTGAAGGGTGGGCTAATTTTGGTTTTGTTAGACGGTGGATTGGACGAATGGACGGGCTGTGCTTGGGGATAATGAGTCGGAGATTTTGAAGATGGTGCATCAATTGGATGTTGATTAGATTTCTATTCTTCGTTGGGTGGGCTTTCTTGGCTACAATTTCCCTGGGATGACATGGCTTTGAAAATCTTGATTTCGTTTATCAGTCTAAGATACCTTCTATGTATCATACAAGCAATTACACTCAACTCCAGACCATGACCCTTGACCCTTGACCCGGTAATGCATACAGTCAGACATGAACATTAAACATATACTCGCTCATCAAATCCAGTCATGGTCAATTCGAGATCCAGCTCGTACCGTGCCAGTAAGGAGGAAAAGAAAAAAGTTGAAAGTGAAGGGAAAGAAGATATGTGTTAAAACATCGTCCCGAACGACCCATCCGTCGCAATGGGTTTGCGCGGTGAGCTGCGTCCTCCGTCCATTGCTGGTTTTCGATGCCTATATCCGTTCATTAGAAACCATGTTGATATGACCGATCTGAGGGCGAACGTACCTGAATGTGAATCCGACGAAGAGACCCTTACTCATCTTCTCGTCTCGTTCTGCCATTTCCTCCAATGCGCGTTGCTTGTCATGGACCTCCTTGTACTTGGCCATGTCCGCCTCGCTGGTAAAGTCGTCGAAGTAGCCTGCGTCCGTCTCCGAATCCAGTTCGGGTACAAACGGCGCACGCTGGTCGCGCAGTCGGTTGAAGTCAACCTCCGCAAAGTAGTCATGGGCGTGAATCTCATGGATATTCTTGAACCGTTTCTCCTTCGAAGCTACCAACTTCGTGATCAGATCCCACGTCCGTCGCGACAGGAAGTAGTTCGGGTCTTCATATACTGGTTTGCGCAGCACCTTTTGCCAATTCTTCAGATTCTGCCACGTCTCATCTACCGTGGCACCGGCAAAAGGTGGGTATCCCGCCAGGGCCTCAAACAGCATGCATCCCAAGCTCCAGTAGTCGACCGTGAAATCATACTGCTCGCCCTTCAATACCTCCGGCGCCATGTAATCGGGCGATCCCACGATGGACTTGGCGTAGTTGACTTGACGCTCGCGGAGAGTGCGATATCCCTGGCGTCGCTCGGCCATCGTGCGCTGCTCCATTGGACGACCGAACGGCACCGGCGTGTTGCCCACCTCCTCCAGCTTCACGCGCATGGATTCGATCTTGCCGGGATTCAGCATGCCGGCCGCCAGGCCAAAGTCGGTCAGCTTCACGTGGCCTGTGGAGTCGATCAGGAAATTTTCCGGCTTCAAGTCACGATGGATGTAACCCAGCGCATGCAGGGCGTCGATGCAGCTGAACATCTCACTGATATAGAATCGCGCGTGGCGGTTGTGCAGAACCCCTGTATTGTTCAGGAGTGTGCGGAAATCACCACCGGGCACATACTCCATCGCAAGGTAAATTTGGTCCTCATCCTGGAAAGCGTAGAGTAGCTTGACTAGCCATTCACTCTTGGCGGCCGTCAAGATGTCGCGCTCGGTCAAAATATGCCGGATCTCGTCCAGTTTAAACAGTAGTTTTTTGCTCATGACCTTCAATGCGCACACCTCCCGGGTATCTTTCTTCTGCGCCAAATACACCTGTCCATAGCCACCCTGGCCGACCTGCGTCAGGATCTGGAAATCGTGTTGGCGGAGACGGGTGCGGCGCTTGCGGAGGTGGGCCCGTTCCCGACCCAGATATTTGAGGAGGGCCGGCTCGTAGTCATCCATGGGAGTTGCGGGGGGCTCCGGGTAGGCATTTCGGAATTGAGAGTAGCGAGTTTGGCGATTGTGCACATAACTAAGGAGGTCGAAATAATGGTCGAGGAAATCTAGAAACGGTTAGCCGACTCGATACCATCGGTTGAGAATGTTCGTGCGGACACCTACAGAGCTGTGTCACGTTTACCAATCGTTTTACCCGAGGGTTCTGCAGTTTCTCCATCTCCTCCGGTGTCAGCCCCCGCATCTGCACCTGACGTCTCTGGATGCTCTCTACATCGCGTGGCTGATAGGGCTGGTGACGAGAGATGGCGGCCGCGGCAGGATTTGGGCCGAGGTCTTTGGCCAGCCGCGTCGGACTCGGTGGTGTGTTCTCCTTATTTGCTTTGCGTGTCGGACTGCCGGGGGGCTGTCGAATGACGCTCTCACTGAAGTCTTCCACTGACTTTTTGGGAGAAAACATGGGGTGATTGTAATGGTCGTAGGTGCCCTTGTTGGGCGAGGTGGGGTTCAGCTTCATCGCTTTATCGAAGACATTTGGTAGGTCTAGGGCGCCCGGTGGAAATCTGTTTTTGCTAGGACTGCCCTGCGGCGTCTGAACAGGACTGGTAAACCCATTCTGCGAAGGTGTGGAGGGGCGATCCAAAGTCTCGTTGCCCGAACGGGTATGTAGCAGGGGAGGGGGATTGGGCAGCCGGAGCGCTGGTCGATCACTCGACTCACGGGCGAAGTTGAGTGTCATCACCACAGGAGGATAATTATTCGAGCACGTTGGATCTAATCAAACGGGTAAATGTGGCCGACGACCCCTTTGATAAGGGCGAGCCGAGGGGTTGCTGCTGTGTTTTTTTCCCGGCTGGTCGCTGGAGGGGGCCGAAAATTACAGGAAAAGAAAAAGAAAAGCAATAAACAAGAAAAAGCAACAAGTTGCACGAGTCGTGGAAATATCGGTGAGAGAGGTCAACAAAAAATAAAGTGAAACCCACTCAGAACCAGGAAAAAGCAATGAGCGGTACAAAGAACGCGGGAGTCGTCCAGAACCACTGCCGTTGAGAGTCGGGTACCGACGTGAAGAATGGCTTTGTTTGATAGGGGGTTTTTGAAAGGGAAGAGAAAGACGAGGGACAAAGACCAGAAGTAAGTCACACTCGCTAAAAGATCTCTCGTACAGAGATGAATGGAATAGTTTTTAAGATCGTGGAGGAGAGGCGAACCGAGAAGAGACAGGGAGGGGAAGGGGAGAAATGAGACAGGGATATGGAGATTGAAGCTGAAGGCTGAACACTAACACTAAACTAAACGACCACTAGACTCGATGGAATACCTGAGGGCCTGAGGCCGGAAGCGCCTGCAGCCCGCTACCCAATGGCTTCATTTCTCCCCACAGTTTCCTGACCAACCAGAATAGCTAGTGCATGCTTTAATTTCTTCTGTGCTCGCCCTACTCGCTCGTTGCTCCGGTAACTCCCTTCCTCCGATCCCTCTAGACACGGTCGATCCAGATGCGCCTGCCGTAATTCCCAGGGGGAAATTCGAGTTTATCGGATCAAGTTGTCAAGGCACTGCCTGCTGATTGGACTATCCCCTGTCTTGGGAGTGATCGATGGATCAGCGTAGGAGATTTTGTGATTGTGTGGGTTTCTCGACCTGCAAGTCATCGACCTAGTATCCGCCAGGGAAATCCTTCCACTCTTTCCCTGTCGAGAAGAAAAAAAA